TATAAGAACCGTAACTGTGTGTACCGTGCAGCTTTTAAAGCACTTTTTTATGCCCAATTTTTCGCACTTGATATTATTTCTGCGTTTCTGTTCTACTGGTACTGAGTCTAAACAAGACTTGAGCTTCAATAAAGAATTCGCACTGCCCTCACAAAGAGGCATATGACTTGGCAACTTAGTCGAACTGTCGGTCTTTTCAGATGAACAGGCTGTTGTTTTCCAAAACTTTTGGGGCATAATTTGAACTAATAAGCTTTTACATCATTTTCTGTGTTAGTTTAAGCTGCTATTTAGTGTGAACGCCAATTTGGGTCATAGATTTTATGATGAGATATATATGCATTTAGTCAAATGTGTGACAAACTTCAGTCTGGAAACCCTTCAGGCTAGTCTGTTGACTCCGCCTCTGAGTATAATGGGCGATCTTTCACAGCTTCTGGTGTAGCCAGTGGGCTTTCTAAGGTGGCACTCCCCTTTTACTCTCCACACAGAAATTTTACCTAAAGCCTACTGCTACTGGTTAAATCCTAGTGTTTCCAAAAGAAAAAATCTAACTAAAAGTGGACCACAAACAGAACGTTGCACCTTGCCTATAGATTCTGCACATCCACGTGTGTTTTAAAGAGATTACGGGAACCTTAAATGTAATCAAAAGAGTGTTAGTTCACAATAAGACTGAATCTTGTTGAGTCTACTGGAAGGGACTATAAAGAAGTAGCAGTGAAGTCGGTCAAATGAGGCATGCAAGTTTTTGCCAGTATTGTCCGTTTTTCAAAGGAACTATGATTTCATCTGTAAAACCACCAACCATCTGCCCCAAATAGTGTCAAACCAATTGTTCTCAGAAGTTGTTGGCCCACTCTGTGGTAATCTGTGTCATATATTTTCCCTGTTCATGCCTGACTCCAGCATCCCACAGGCTTAGAAAACACAATGTGCTGTTCTGATTCTTAATAAAATCCAGATCAGGAATCAAAGGTTCATGGTTTTATAGAGCTGTCAGCAGCTAGAGGACTCTTCCCAGTTCCAGTCAAAACTAAAACTACATCACATGTTACAAGCTTGATTGTTGTTCTGTATTGGACCTAAATAAATACATAAAGTTTTAGGTAACATTTTTGAGAATATTACTCATTATAAAGGCTTTTTTGTTTTGGTCTTAAATATAAAAGAAAACACACTTACCAGTGTTTGCATCATTCCTTTGGAGTGGGGGATGACGACCCGGAGGTCTGTCTTGCGGCTGGTAGGGACCATGCTGTTCCCATGAGGTGGAGGAGGAGGAGGAGATTTTGATGGTATGATCTTTCCAAATCCATTCACTAAATACAGACGTGTGGAGGATGTTAAGAAGTGATGGTAATTCAATTCCAACTTTCACTTAAGTGCTGATTCTAGCTGCTTTTTGTAAGAATTTTGCAAAGGATATTTTTTTTGTTAATGGAAAGCATCATGCATATAGCACAAGTTTTAAATATTTAGAGCTTTGGAATGCACTTGAAAATGGAGTGGGGTATTACAGTCTCGTGTATTAGATCCATTAAATCAACATGTCCACAGCCAAGTTCTGCATGCAGACTGGAGAAAGTACAGCTATATATTATACAGGAGATCATCATGAATAATTCATATTTTCTCTCTCTTGGCATTACATAATGGCAGTGTTCCTGAGAAGGAGAGCACGGACATGGCAGGAGGGGGATTATGCAAAGACAGTTTGTAGAAAGGGTTGTGGACCAAAGCATAAGGGCAGAAGAGCAGTAACAAAAACCAGGAGGGATGAGGTGCAGCCAGGCTCCTGGAAGAACACATCCCTCCACTGGCCTTAGCTGACCAATAGCAAATCCATCAGCATCTTACATCAACTCCCACTATTTTAAGAGGCGCTAACAGAACCTCAGAGGAGCCATGAACGAATTATCAGATTATTTCTGTGGAACCTCTTTCTTATATTTCATTCTTTCGTAATTTATTGGCTAATTTTAATCCCTTAACGCCTCTAGAAAGAAAATCAAGAAAACAAATAACTATTTGTTCCAACAGATCACACACAGTTAACACATGCAGCTGCTCACATGGGATCACAAGCAAAACAAGCTTGCAAAGACTGCTTCATATGCAGGGAGTTGTGTTTGTGCGTATGCAGTATACATGTCAGAGCGTGTTTGTTAAACTCCCGTTGGATACATACCAGTCGGTCCAGATCCATTTTGCAGAG